GATCCAATGGTCCCAGTTCTGCTCTGTATTGCTTTGGTCCTCTTTCCTTACATGCACCTCTGTCACTTTGGTAATCGCCTCGCCCTGCTGCGCCTCTGATGTTGATGGCCCAACTATGGCTTCCTGGCTGCTGTGCGCCTCAGTCTGCTGCTGTTGCTTAACCCCACTGTCATACACAGACAGCAAATAGCTGTCTCGCCCTGTCGTCGGAGAGCTGCTGTATAACCCGTTCAAAAGCTTGCTGTTCTTCCACAGCGCCGCCTTGCGGTACACACTGTCGGCTGTCACCGTGCCAAGCGTCGTCTTTGGCGAAGAGTTAAACCGGCCTTTTACCTTCTTGAGGTACCGTGTGTATGTCGATGCTGTGTTTTCGGAAGTGGATGTTCGGCGGATATGTTTGATTAGCGGGCCGAGTGTGGGTACACAGGTGGCAATGAGGACTAGGTATTCCTCGACCACTGCCCAGATGACCAGGTCGGCCGTGGCCCAGGGGTAGTCTGCACGGACAGTGAGCCGCGGGAGGTACGAGGCCTTGATAATAGCTCCAGCGAAAGCACTGTTGTCGTGTTTTCATACAGGTAAGAAGCGTTAGATAACCCTCGCAGGACAGATTGTGCTTGGGATAGAAATCGGGGCGTTGGAGGACTTTACACTAAGCCCAGCAAGAGAACGCTGGTGATAGCGAGTTTGACCCGCCGTGGCATCTGCAGCCTGGAGACAACAAATATGGGGTATGCTGCGAGGAACAGATCTGAGACGGCGGAGCAAGCTGGCGGGCAAATGGATATATTTCAGTATATAGCAGCACAAAAGGCCAGGAGTAAAGCAATGCTTACCACTTTGTAGAAAGGTATAGTTCTTCAGGACGCTAGGGCTCCAGCATTTGCCCCCGAGCCTTGGGTTCCAAAACGCATCAGGGGGTTGGCATTGGCCGACCATGATACACACGCAGCCTGTGTTTATGATGGTGAGGAAGACAATGGCTGCGTAAAAATATCGCACCTGGCGCTTTGCACTCTCTATGATGCGGATGATCAGCAGTATAGCAGAGACCTTTCCCCAGTTTATGCACATGATGTGGAACGGCTGTGAGAGCCAGGTGTACCTGAATACCTGCTCAACCTGGCTCTTGTCAAGGTAGGCCTGACGGCGCCCCAGGCCATAGTAGACGGCGACGGTGAGCAAGGCCACATTCACGCATCCGAAAACCTAGCAATAACAATAAACTTATGCTGTTGTTCAAACAAATATAAAAGGAGGAAATATTGTATATACCACTGCCAGAACTATAAAGGCGTCATCCCAGCCGAACTGCTTCGTGAGGTGGATGCGTATCCAGAGCCGTATACACACTATCGAGGCCGCGACAGAGAACAGCGACCACATAACGGACAGGACCTGGGGCCCATTATTGTCACTTGGCAGTCCTGCTTCCATTCTTCTTGTGCCCAGCAATATGGGTAGGCAGTTGTACGGCGACTCTCCGACGGTCGGGGTTGCGAAGCTTCATCTCGCTGGACTTGGAGCGAGCGAGGAATCTGCGTAGACGTCCCTTGTTAAATACAAAGCAGACACCTGAAAGGGCTTTTATACTAGTATGATTAGTCGAAAAGACGGAAAAGCCTCGCTGAGGTGTTCAGACCTTGCAACCGCCGCCACTTCAGTCGCCGTTGTTGGACATCGATAGTCATTACGAGGTTGTTGGGTGTCTGGGTCGTTGACCAAGTAAAAGCCATCTCGAGACTATTGGGCCCTGGCCCGCCCCTGTCACCATGGATGCTCTCCACGGCATCGCAGTAGCTTCTTGCTAGCAGCTTCTCTGGCACTTGACTCGTTCCCTGGATAACCTAGCCGGCCAGAGCAGGTGGCGGCCCAGCGATCCGCATAGATCTGTCAATGTTTTACCAGGCGGAAACCCGAGAACAAACTCTGGGTTGATGGTCCGTCCCCGACGGTCGCCCCCCGGCGGCGACATGGATGTGCTAGATGTGAACCGAACTGGGTTGACTTTGTAGTTATCGTGGGATTATTGCACCGAATTTTGATTCATCGGCCTCTCGAACCCCCTTTTGAGGGACTCGGGCATTTCCTCTTCTATTTCACCGTCTGCGAGGGACATCTGTTGTATCAAATATATGTTGCATTGATCTGAAGAGTTCGGTTGCGCCAAATCAACAATATCCTGGACAAATTCGGTAATGATACTGGACCTCGCATAAGAAGATCACAAGATGGAATGTATTCATCCCTAAGACAGCCGGTGCGATCTCCTGATATTGCGTCGTCCTCGCCTAACTTCAAAGCTATAAGAGAGCACACTGCAAGCCTTTGTCTGAAATAGCTTTGATCCTCACCATCATACATCTCTCAATACCAGTCACAGAGGCCCAATAGCAGTCATCGCTATATCCCTGTGTGGTTCTCTCGACTTCAGCAATGGCATCCCACGCTGCCAACGTACTCCTTGGCCCGTATATGGAGTAGAAGGGCGACCGTAGTAGGAGTAGACGGCCGCAGGAGTATACAGAGTCCAGAGTAGATAGTAGTTATACCGGGCGGACGCGAGCAAACCAGCATGAGTTGACTATTTCGACTTCACTTGGCTTCGTTCCTCTCGTCGGCGCCCCTTTTTTGATCCTCACCAACGCGGAAACAGAAACAGCCCTTCCGATTGGCTTCCTCGAGGAAAACAAGCGAGCAGAGAAGGAGATCAGCTGCGGTTTGTTGAGTCCTTGGGTGCGGCTTTGACGCGAGACGGGGTTGACGGGCAGATCTCTCTCTACTTAGCTAGCGCCGCGAGTGGTCACTAACTAACGGTGTAAAGATAGGAGGTTGGGTGCTTCTCCTGGTAGGAATAATAACTACCACTACGGATCAGATTAGAGTTCTATCTAGACAAAAAGAATATTGATGTAGCCGGGACTAGAACATTAGCTCTACAGCTCAGCAAGTGATAACTAGCAACTATCATTCACAGCACGACACTCAGCTAGGTGCATCCCCGTCCATTCGACTCAAAAACCAGAGATGTCCTCTAGGATGCGCTTGTGCTCGACCTTCAGCGCTGCGATCTCATGTGCCAGTTCCGCCTTTTTCAAACGCTCTTCTTCTTCGGCTTCCTTCCTCGCCCGATTGGCGGCATAGCTTTTCGAGCCATGGATACTTTTCCACTGTGCGGCCGCTGTGAGGGTATCTTTCATGATGCGCCCGAAATTCTCCTGCGCAACGTCACATAGCAGGGCAAAACTATCCACGATGGCTTCTTGTATGCGGGAGGCTATGGCGAAGGATATGTTAGGGAACAGGGTCCCATCTTCGATTCGACCTTGGACTCGCCTTCTCTGACGGGCGGCTTTTCCAGTACCTATAGTTGACATTATTCAAAAGGCCTACTACCGTAGATTAGCGTCATCATGCAGAACTCACCCTTCTCTTGGCTGGCACTCCGATATGCCGGAAGCATCTCCATCACAATGTAAGACGATTGACTAGGTTCGGATGCCATGCCACGGGTAAGCCTGCTTTTGGTTAAGAGCAACTCCAGAGCATAAACTACAATTTAACGCCAAGTAAAACGAGATACGCACTGTATTTCACTTGCAAAATCCCTCTGTATGAGACTGAATCTGTACTTGATATCTTGAATGCGGTAATGAAGGCTCTTGATCAAAGTTGGAGGACACCCTTTGCCTAAAGAAGAACATGTAAGCCAATGGATGATGCATTCGTAGATACCACGGATACACTTACTTTGCAGTTGTTTTTCTAGGCCGTGTATCTGGCCTATGACAGACTTCCGAAGCTTTTTGAACGTGGTAGGTACTTCCTCCTCGAGTAGTTCCCACTGACTCTCAAGTTCTATTCGCATCTTCCAAATAAGTTCATTGTTCCAGTTCACCCGCCCCCGCCGTGGGGTGCAATGGTCGCCGTTTTTGATACACCATGCATTGTATTGTGCTGCAGAGCCGGTGGGTGTTAGTATTAGCATTCAAGGGACCGCGGCAGCATAATCTACTTGCTGATCGTGCAAGCGTGCACAACGTATTTTATTGACAAAATTTAGCGTTGTACTTACTCCAAGGCCACTACATATATCCGCGTGTTAGGGGTATCTGCGCTCTTAACAGAGAGATCCTACTTACATCGGCCCACTTATTCCCTTCCTCCTTTGCTTGTTTTGCCCAATGGTCATTTCTATAGTCTACCGTCAAAATCAGCATATGCCCTCCCTGCTTGGAGTTGGTTGTTCGCACGGAAAGAGCGGAGTATTTGTTCATCAAATGCGTCGTTGAATTCACTCGAGGCTTTCATAATAATGGCATCGACCTGCAAAGTTTTAGCTTGAGCACATGTATCTTCTTAGGAACGATACGGAACGATGCAACGACCAATAAAACTTGCCTTCCTTGTTACGCGCTCTATTTCTTTTATCTTTATATCCCATACGGCTGGATCGTCATCATCACCCCCATTCACCGGGTTTGGGGCAATATTGGCCCAGATATCGATAGAGGAAAGCAAGCTAGAGAGCGAAGACTGGAGGAAGTGTTTAGCTTCTACCAACCTTGCCTCCGCAGTGATTAACAGGCAGAATCTTCGAAGCTCTGGGATTCCGCTGCCGTCAATCATCCGACGAGCTCCCTCACTATCCGGCTTGCTCGAGAACTTCTCATACATTGTGTTTGACACACAGAAAACTTCCAAGTTTCCGCCTAGCATCTTATACGCCGACTGCAGCCCGTTTTTAACATGACAGTTCCGTGCGTCTATGAGTAGAAGCTCTCGCCTGTTTTGCCCTTCGAGGTCAGTTTAGATAATAAATAATAAATAGCAAAACCAAGAAAAAAAGGCAACCTGCCTTCGTTTTAGTTCCTTCTTAAGTGTTTGGTCATCGTTAGCTTTCGCAAGCCTGATATCCCTATCCAAATTGTCTAAGACAGGCCTTGGAATTTTCTTGCCCGGTCCGCAGAATTCCCGTTCGGCATTTCTTTGGTTGATGCTCTAAGGTTACATTGTAAGCCATGGACCTCTGTCTGTCAGGCGAAACAAATTCAACCGACCTCTGACTTTGTGCAAACAACAGCAAGTTTCAAATTTTTTCCGGCAGACTTTTCCCATTCTGCAGGGACATGGCGAGAGATGACGTTGTAGATAGACGATTTGAGGGACGAGTCCGTAATCGCTCTAGCGATATTGGTGACCAGGAATATATTATCACACCTCATCAAATACTTCTGCGTAGCTTGCACTCTGGCCAGGTTAGTGTCTTGCAAACCTAACGACGGTTGTTAGCACTCAGTAAGTAACAAGCGCTCTCCGGGCTTAGCGTACCTGGCAAATCTGCTAGCACAATGCCTCCATTCAAAATGGGAGCATCGAGGTAAATCCTAGTGACACCAGACATAAGCCCATGACCGTTGCCATTTAATATATAATTCGTACCGAATGATTTTTGTGAATGGCCACAACCTATCTTCCATGAAGGCCTTTGTCTTTTCGTAGCACTCCTCTACACTTTGCGCCGATGATGACCATTTACCTGTACCATCATCGCCTTCTGGCCAGGGAATATCTCTTGCCCATAAGGTTAATCGTTCTGTAACCCTTTCCAATGCTCCATCAGACATGTCCGAGAGAAATTCTTCTTTGAATTGACTTTGATGTTTGAATGCAGCTTCCAGAGCCGACCACGCCTGATCAGATTCTCTCTGGCACTGTACATACTCTGCATCAGTCAGTCCATTACCTTGAGCCATGGGAAGAAAAGGCTGTCGATAATTCCAGATTAACTCTCCTATAAGCTTATCAATCTCATCGGCTGATAGATACTCTATCTCAATCGCAATGGGACCGCTTTGGTCAATTGTCAGTTTCCTATACTCAGTGACGACCGGGGTGCATGCTGCGCCTAAATCACCCTGTCATGAATAAAAATCAGACGCTGATTACACAGTTAGTAGGAGCACAAAAACCCGGGGCTACTTACCGTTGCAGCGATATCCGGGAAATGAAGCAAGGAATTTATGAGGCTGCTCTTCCCTGCTTCATGTTAGCTGTTGCACCGGAAAAAAGTGGTTCAACTAGTATGATTACCTTCCCCAGAGTCCCCTAGAAGGGCTATTGTTCTTGTATCACAGCCACGGAAGCTGCTGAATCGCATCCCATCTGCCATTAGCTCCCCACCACGGCTACCGGGAACGAGGAAGGGTTTCAGTTTCTCCAAGGCTATGGTAGTGCGTTGCGCGATCTCTAAGCCTTCCTTCAAAGAGCGCTGGAAAGTAGGAGAGAAAAAAGGCATTATCGGAGCGGTTTCACTTTCAACATCATACACGCTTGTGGAATTTTCGTCAACGCTCACATCAGAAACGTCGGAAATGTCAGAGGCCCCTGAAACTCTGCGCGAGTGTGTGGTGAGATTGGAGCCCGAAGGCTCGGTAACCGATAGAGATGAAATACCAAAGTCCGACCTGCTTTGAAGACAAGCGGAAAGGACGATGTCAGGAGGTATAACTGGCTCCGGCAAATCTGACATGGTCTGAGGATCTTGAATGTGCGGTATGTCCTGACTGTTTGATAGCATTGGCAGAGAGTTGGGTTCCAGTTCCACCGGAAGTGCCTCAATCGACGAGGAGACTTGATCCTCTGGCCCCGGAGACTGCCGCGGCGACAGGCGTTGAGTGGTGTCCGAGGGCACTCCATCTGCGATGCTGTTTGGAAGCGCAGAGGGCGATGTACCGCGAGACTGGATGGTCCGGTCAACGTCTTTCGGGTCAGGCGGCGTGGATGGCGAGCTAGAGCACTCTGTAGTCGCGGCCGTAGCTGGCAGTGTATCATGCTCAGTTTCCCCTGAGCTGGACCGCTGGCTGCTACTGTTGCGCCTTGGGGAAAGCGGAGGAGGAGGGCACCTATGAGAGGCATCAACGAGGTCGTTAGAGGGCAGCATATTTAACCGTCCTGTGCATCAGATGAGAGTAAAGAGGAGACCGTGTATTGAGCCTTTGAATGGTCTGAGCAGAGAGCCCAGCAGCGCTGCGATGATCGATCAGCGAGGGGGGGGGGGGGGGGGGGTTCCTCCTCGTCTTATAGGCCCCATTCGAGATGCGGTCCGAGGCATGCGGTGCGCGACACATTCTGGGTATAAATGCAGCCAGGGGCCTGTCGGCTGCAGCGATGTTTGCGATGATTGGAGGACCCGGAGGTGTTCCATGAAGTAAAGAGGGACAGCGAGCGATGTTGGCCAGGGTCCTTAGCGCAGCTGCACTCCAATCACCGACCTACATATATCACAATACTAACTAGTTACCTTGGATGTAGCGATTCATGCATGCAGTTCGGGATGCTGGTGGTCTCCGCGCATCTCTGGGCACTGGAACCTCAAGAACCCTGGCGCCCGCATGTAGCGGAGGACAAGGGAGAGAAGATGGGCCGAAGATGCCCTTTGCATGAGAGCCCCCCCTAACCGCCAGGCTGTTGTTGGTTCGTTTCACTACCAGAACAGGCAAATGGAAGATGGGCTTTGGCTGCCAATCCGTTGAGCGAAAGTTTTGAAGCAAGGCGTCCATAGCCGCTCGTGGCATCCCGAGGAAGATTTTCACGGCTCGTGGAGGCTGGTGGAAGCGCTTAGCCGGGTCTTTTGGCCACTCGCGGGAGAAGAATAGCCGTCATTGCGAAGGGGACGGAGGAGATGCACTATTGTATTGCGCGGCCAGAGTTGTTGACAAGCAGCACAGAAGGGATACGGGAGGGCGTGAACCTGTCGAGGATATTGACAAGAATGGCCATATATAGACATATATATGTAGAACACGTGTGTTATGTTAACTATTAGTTAGTTAACTAACTCGCTACTTAATTTCCGAGCTATGAAACCCTATAATACTGAAGTTAATTGATAGAATCTTATCTACCACTAGAGCAGACGTTGTCTAAAACGATGTGAATGAATTATCTTACTACCAGGCCATGGTATCACTATCCTATATCATTTTACTCTCCGCTAGGCTTATAAAGACGGCCCGTCATGTTAGTTTGCCTCGTAGACGCGACTGGAGGAAATCAAGTTAAATCTCTGAATCGTCAGTTTCACCACCAATCGCCGCCGATAGACCTTTGCGTCTAAAGAATAGGTGGTTAAAATAAGTAGAATAAATCTAGCATATTCCTAGGTACCACAAGGCCTGTAGGGCCTGTAAGCAGCGCTTCAGCTGTCCGATAGCTAGGTTATAGTACCTAACACCCAGCGCGGTCATTTTCTCCTTCTATACCCCAAAGTCGGCCAGGTTAAATGTCGAGTGTGAGAGGAGGCCATTGTAGAGGGCATTTTCTCCGGGAGTACAGTAGTAGAGCCGCCATGGATTAAGTGGATGTTCAAACGGCATCATCACAAAGGCAGCATAGTCGGCATAATGGCTGAAGAGAGCTTTATCGACCGAGTGAGAGAGTTTGGAAAGATATCGCCGAGCAGCTTTCGAGAAAACGATAGCAGGCACGGAACTTGGCGCCGGCTTGCTTGAAATGAGAATGGGCTGTAGGTAGGCTCCTTTCCCGCTGCATGAGAATGGAACGCAACCGGGTCAACCTCTTCTTACTCGTCACACTGGAGGATAAGGTAGGGAGAGCTGTGATGTCTCCCCATGTCTTCCCTAATTCGCCTAAAATCAGTTGACGGTGCCATGCTGAGGGGTGAGCTGGGGCAACGAACTGTAGTCAAGGTCGTTACTGTCTACCCTCAGACCTGTACGACTTGCACTCTCTCTCCGCCGACCCAGACTAATCTCAAACTGTCACGGCCGCACGGGAGTCCGAGTCTCTGGCAAGCTGAGCATTGCGGTTTCTTTTCGTCACACTGAAGCGATGTTAGGCCACTATCATATCTCTCGCGGGTCTTCCTGCTCCGGCGCATGGTTGGTGACGCTGTAATCTCAGCCTCCACCCATCATCCGGCGCAATGACCTTCCCTTTGATGCTATTCTCGTGTCTTATACGCTGAAATTGGCCGTATGATGGGTATCTGGCGCAAAGGAGTGCCTACGCCTGCGGGACGAGCAACCGCCAGCCGGGAAAAGGAGGCGATAACTAAAAGGCTCGGCAAGGCGGGGAGATCGGTTCAGCAGCTAACTAGTTAGTTAAACTACTAACAGTAAGTCCATCCGAGGACAGCTTGTGGTTAGGTGCACGATCGGCTTAGGGATGGCGTCTAGGGGAAGGGATATCTTGTGGAGAGAAGAACGGCTCGGGGATGAAAAGAGACGCAGCCCGAGAGAAGTTGGTTCTTCCTGAACGGGCTCCCAACGTCGCCCTTTCAAGTCGCAAAGATTAACTACAGCCACGTAGTTAGGCTATCGGAATGTCATCCTGGGTAAGATGAAACAGCAGATCCCACCTCCTCCTCGAGCAGTTTCTAACAGACCAGATAGGAGAAAGCTGCCCCGATATCCACCTCGTATCTCATTATCGCGTCCAAGCAACCAAGCAACAGGTGGACGGAGCTTCAGCTGAAGTGCTCAGGAAGCACCTCGCCGCGTTTCGTCGAGTCTACCAAAGAAGAATAATCTCAAAGCCACGCGATGCATGCCAGAGACCAGGATGGCGGCTTGATATGCGGCTAATAAAAGACGCCGGCCTCGTGGCGAGCGCCGTGCATTACTCTTTTTTAGCTCTGATTTCTTCCTGCTAGTGGCTCTCCGGAAGATTAAGCAGCCTATCCGTGCCGTGGATGCAACGCGATGGAGCTCTGCGGCTGAGCACTCCCACGATATATTTCACGCATTCCCATCTCAAAAATGACCTTCGTTGGGCTGTAAAACCACTGCAAGCTACTGCGAGCGACGGCCAGGGTTTCCCGAGAGACTTAGAGTGAACTTGTTTCGCTACATCGAGGCCCACGACGGGTTGTCAGGATGGTGAACCTCGAAGCGGTCCTCCGGTGGCCGCACATCAACTTCGTCACTCTCCACTGTAAGTGCACATCGCTACATCCTTGATCCGCGATTCTAACGTCCGCAGATGCATACATTATCTTCATGAGCGTCTTGTCGCTCGCAATTCTCTATCCTGCTGGGAATATGGCGGCAATTGATGCGTATTTCTTTGGTGCTAGTTCCGCTACGGAGTCTGGCTTGAATACGTACGCTCTTCGTTCGTTCGGTGTTGAAGCCTTGAAGAGCACGAAGCCGTCATGAGGAGAATGTCCCTGACCGTCACTGCCTTGTTCTAGCATGGACCTCAAGGAGCTGTACACGTATCAACAGCTCTACGTATACTTCATCCCCATGTTCACAAATCTGGGCTTCATCAACTCTGTCGTCGTACTTGTCCGCTTTCTCTGGTTCCGAAAGCACCTCAGCAAACTCGGTGAGACTCATATGCTCAATCTGACGTTACTCTATTTACTATTTACTTGCTAAAACAACTTTGACACCTAGCGCCGCAGTTGAGGGATAATAAAAAGTCTACGTCGTCAAAGTCCAATGACGTTGATGCAGAAGCGGGCCATATTCCTGGTACAGTAGATAATGACGCCGAGACTAAATCCCCAGGTGAACAGAAAGCCGAGGAAAAGAAGGATGAGGATGATGCTGCTACGGCAGAGTTCTTGAAGTCTCGAACCATCAACTTCGAGCCGTCGGCGGATAACCACCCCAAAAACGATGAGACACTCTACATTCCCGGACCAAGAGACCGTGATAGAGGTATAACTAATGCCGTATATCAATCACCCTTCGGTTTCAATTGTTAACATAAGCTTCCGGAATTAGGCTCACCGATCGTTGAGTTGGACAAGCTCTCTAGGCAGAGAAGTCGAGGAGGTGAGCTACCTTGGTTCAACTATCTTCCATGGTTCCCTACGGACACTTAACTATATCATCCGCATAGAAATATCTGTCGCAGAGTCGTCCGCCGCGGGAGGCCTTCGCCGCAGATTTGTCGATGGTCTTCCACTGGCCGAATCTAATACTATCGGCCGTGTTGCCAACATTGCCTCCTCCGCCTTTGTTCTCGGTCCTGATCACCGCCACCGCCGGGGCTCGATCTCATCGAATGTCTCCCAGCAGCGTGAAGTTCAGGCACGAAACTCACTTGCCCTGTCACAACATGCCTCATTAGGCCGTAACTCAGACTTTTACAATCTGACTAGGGAAGATCGCGAAAAATTGGGAGGCATCGAGTATCGAAGCTTAAAACTACTGCTCAAGATTGTCTTCAGTAAGTCTAGCAATATCTGCCACAATCATTGGAAATGGCTGTTCATTCATCTTTACAGCTTACTATTTTGGGCTTCATCTCTTCGGTGCAATTTGTCTCGTTGGCTGGATCCAGTATGCCGATCCCAAGTACCGAGCGGTCCTCGCTGCTTCTAGCCAGAATATTCACTGGTGGTATGTTATTTCACCCCAGGAACAAGAATTAACCCTTCAAATTCTGAGACTATTTGCATAGGGCTTTCTACTCTGCTCAAACCATGGTGGACAACCTCGGCTTCACCCTAACCCCTGACTCAATGATCTCATTCCGTGATGCCCAGTGGCCCATGTTCATCATGAGCCTCCTCGCCTTCGCTGGCAACACACTATATCCCGTATTCCTGCGCCTGGTTATCTGGACGATATCCAAACTGGCTCCTAAGAACTCGTCTATCCAGGAGCCACTATCCTTCCTTCTGGACCATCCACGTAGATGCTACACGCTCTTGTTTCCCAGCCGGCCCACCTGGATTCTCTTCGGCATCATCTTCGCCATGAACTTTATCGATACCCTTCTCATTCTTGTTCTCGACTTGAAGAACCCAGAAGTAGCTTCCATACCCCTCGGGCCTCGCATTCTCGCTGCTATTTTCCAGGCAGCCTCAGCCCGCCACACCGGAACCGCAGCCTTTAACCTTGCCAATGTCAATCCAGCAGTCCAATTCAGTTTACTGGTTATGATGTACATTGCTATCTTCCCCATTGCAATCAGTATGCGTTCTTCCAATACCTACGAGGACAAATCACTGGGTATTTACGAGCGACCAAACCGTCTGGATGAGAGCAGTGGCACCGATTATCTGCTTAAGCATATGCGAAATCAGCTCAGTTTCGACCTGTGGTTCATTTTTCTAGGAGCCTTCTGCATCTGCATCGCTGAATCAGAGAGGATTGCAGATACTTCCATTCCGGTTGGGACCCCTTCTACTCCTTCACCCTTCTTTCGCCTACTTTCTACATTATATCGTCGCCTAAAGGATAACGACGCTAATTAATTTTCTGTTAGGCATTTTCCGTTTGGACCGTCTTTTTCGAAGTCACCTCTGCCTAGTAAGTACTACTCCACACGAATAATATGCAGACAACTTATGTATATTCCTAGTGGAAATGTCGGTCTCAGTCTAGGCTATCCAGATGTCTCCTACTCGCTTAGTGGTAAATTCAGTCTATTCAGCAAGCTCGTTGTCTGTGTAATAATGATCCGTGGACGCCATCGTGGCCTGCCGTATGCCCTGGACAGGGCAATCATACTTCCAAACGGGGACGGTGACATTGATGTAGTTGAAACAGACGATATATATAGCTAGATATAACTTTAAAGCTCTATTATTTTACTGATATTTAAAATATATACAAGTATTTGAAAATAATATAATAAAGCTATTTATATTATTTATAATAGTTTAATTAGTACTTTTAATTTAATACTATACTATTGTAATAAAATATAAACTTATACCTTCTACTTTATTTACCACTCCACAGGGAGTTCTTATTTCGATACAGCAAGAGATCGACAAGCAGCCTTGTGGTTTTTAAAGTGCGCCACCTGACACTCTCTATTACAGTACTTGACGGTCTTGCATCTGCCGCACGACATTAACGCGCCCGACCCGTTTCTGCAATTAGCGCACTGCGTCGCCGGCGGACGAAGAACGGCCTCCAGCAGATCTTCTGCCGTCTTTTTGGCCCTTGTTAGGACGCGCTGCTCGCCCGCGCTAACGTGTGCCGCTGCCCAAGCGTTGCCCCCCGCGGGGTAGTCTCCCGCCACAAGCTGTGCCTCGAGCTTCTCCAGCGGGATACCGAAGCCTTCTAGGAGGCTGCCGATCGAATCGACCAAGAATTGTAGTACCTGTATCTCGTTTCCGTCATTAACCTTGCCGTCTGTGCCATTCACTAGCCGTAGCGTAATGTCTGTGATGTTGGATTCGTCCAGTCGCTGGATTCGGAGGTAACGAAGCACGTTATTCGGAAGCGGATCTTTCACGGTAAGGGGAATGGTGCAAGTTGAGTCGAGCCCTGCCAGCGCCCAGAGCCTTTCCTTCTGCTCGTAGAGGGGGGCCAGTGGGCTCGTCTGGAGTACCAGGTCGTAACTGTCGTTAGGGTTGTCCGGCAGGACAAAGCCGTAGAGGCGCAAAAGCCGATTGTTCGGCACACTGCCGTAGTAAATGAATATCTGTCATGACGTCATGTTTGTTAGCTTTTGGAATTGCCCGTCGACAGAGATTAGCAGAGATTAGCAGAGTGGTGGGCGAACTTGATCCCCGACTTGGTAGTCCTTCGCAGCAAGGATAGAGAGGTCCCCAGACGTTGGATCGTAAGCATGGCACTGCTTCACGTCCGGAGAATGGTTAAGCATGTCTGCTAAAGGTGCCACAAGCCGAACTGAAGCCGTCTCCGAGACCGCAAAATCCATTGCACGACTCCATATTGAACAAAGAGCCCACTTGTACTAAGAAAGGCAAAAGCAAGCTCGGTCAGCGATAGTTACGGAGCGAGTAAAGTATAGCAAGAAGCGATGTAACCTACATCTTCTATCGTAAATTGGTCTAGCGGGAAGAGATCGCGATGCTGGCTCAGCAAGGCCACGAGCAGCTGCCTGTAGTCATCATGCACACGCTGTTCTAGCTGCGGCGTGAGTGCGTACAGTGAGGATCCCTTGCAGACCTGCAGCTCGTCATCCGTGAAGAAGATGCTTGCCGAGTAACTCTGCGGCATCGCAGCGATGTGATGTCGCTGGCCCTCATAGCCTAATGTTCGCGACTTGACAAAGAGCAGATAGAGGGCCAAAGAATCTTCGACCGACAAGGGCGGCTGCGCAGCGCGAAGAACCGGGCCAAGCAGCGGATCAGCATATGCTTTCTTTACCGTCCACAGGCAAGCAGATGGGATGGTGAGGATGCGTTCTCCTTCTTTGAAGCTGCGCAGTGCCTTGACGCCGCGCCCGGTGACGGCGAAGTCAGCAACCTCTATGCCATCTACACCAATGGCCCCCGAATCCTTCAGCCAGGCCTCCATAGATTCACAATATATAAATACCAGATCAAAGCATAGAGGTATATTTAGAAAACGGGAGAAAAAGCGAACACAAAAACAAAGAGTAGTTGGCAAGCTCTAGGATCTCGTAGACGATTTTTTCAAGCGTACGCCTGGGGGCCTGACCAACATGTCACAGAATTCAAAGCCTGTTATGGAGGCAAGTATACTATTACTATAGGCGTTGGCGCAAATGCTACACTGTTCTCCACAACTCCAATTAAAAATTCATTTGAGAACATGCTACGGGAAGAGGTTCAAAATACAACATCTTCTCTTCCAGAGTTTGAATACCTATTGCTGGAACCGTCAAGGACCTTTTCCACCGCCCTTATATAGGCGGGAAAATTCAAGTACGTATGCGTTTTACATTTTGCTTATTCCTGTATTCCTTGCGGTGTAACTGAAGCTTGACACTTCTATTTTAGCAGATTGAATATAATAGTTACTAGTATAATTCAAGAGTCACGAAAGTTAAAGATAATAAGGTCGAGTTTGTCGATTAGTTATTAAACTAGACTTCCGGATGGACAGGCTCAAATTTTGAGCTTTGGGCGTGGAAGAGCCTATTGGGCTCAATGGGCGGGCGTTTAGAAAATTTTTAGGCTTTAGATAGGCAAAACTTATCTAGATACCCACTTAACCCACCTATAGGCCTTATTATATAATTCTTGATATATCTTAGCGCTTATATAATTAGTAGTAAATTAGAGTGTCATGCCACAACCCGACAACCGCGATAAACGCCTATGGGGAATCACGTGACCCTCGGAGAAGATATCACGTGACTCACCCAAGCCCTGGTGCTTATATAAGCACACATATGTATATAAGTATGCCTCACTATATCCCTAAAAGAAGATAGCGATTAGTTCCTTAGATATTAAGATTCTTATAGTAACTTCCTATATAACGCGTACTCTAACTATTAAGTACTACTATAGCGTCTATAAGCCTCACCGCCTTATAGTTCTAATTACTCTTAAAAGAGGACATTCTATTAAGGCAAATAGTACCTATTATACGAATAATATCTAGTAAAATAGAATAAGGAATTATATAAGTAAACTTGGACTCCTAGGTGCATATTCCTAATTAAGATAGGGATAACCTATAGAAGACCTATAAGGAATAGAACTCCTTAGAAGAGGATCCTATAATAGAATTAAAACGGATTTAGTAAGTAGCTAGAGAGGTAAAATAACGAATTAGGCTCGTGAGAGAAAAGAAAGAACTTTAAGAGTTAGAAAAATAAGTCTAAGTACTTAAGAAAGAACTTAAAAGAAGTACTAATAATAAAAATAAAATAACGAATTCTACCCTTAGTAGAATTTACTCTATAGGACTACTAGTCTAAATTAAAATTACTAGAATAGTCTTAGAGTAAGAGTAGAATAATTACTCTAGATAAGACTAAATGGAAGAAATTAACCAATATCCTTAGGAGAGTTAAGAAAAATACCTAGAGATCGCGAGACTAGTAGATTAGGAAGCTAATCTCCCTATATATAATAGGAGAGTACTAGTAAATATACTAATAAGAAAGGTTCCTAAAAAGTTCGCGGCCCTAAACTAGAAGGAGATAGAAGACTTTATTATATATATTAAGATATTCTATATATACTAAAAAGTATACTTTACGGGAAATAATACTAATAAAATTCTAGAGGCTATTACCTATTTTAATAGCTACCTACTAACCTACTAATACTAATACTTCTCTATATATAAAGAGCAAATACTAACTTAAGAGGAATTTATAGATTAGTTATAATACTAAATATTAGATCTAAATAGAGCTTTCCGCGACTACTACCTTAAATATATTAAAGCTTAATAGAGGGATACCTAATTAATTTATAAATTCTCTACCTTTCTACTAGTACTAGAAGGCCGCCTCAAATAGAAATTTAATAAGTACTAATAAAAAATAAACCTAATAAGTAAAATAATCCTTAAAGTAATAGTGTTACAGACCACCTGCGGCGCAACCCCGATAAATACGCTCATTGGACAAACAAGGTTACGGGACGGAAGAACCCAGGAACTCCCCAGGTCACGTGACGACTGGAGAGGTCCCAAATGCCAAGACCATGGACAGGTCCATGATGGGACCTCAGGGAGGAGGTCCAACCTGGGACCTCAGGACAACAGGTCCACATGGGACCTGAGGAACATTCGAAGGAT